CCCTCCCGCGCGCCATCGCCCCGCCCGCCCCTCGCGGGCCCAAGTCGGGCGGGGCCGGCCGCCCCTCGGTCTGCGCCTGCGTCCGCGTCCCGCGCCTGCGCGCTTGGAACCGGGTCGTGCGGCTCCTACGCCTGCGCACTGGAGTTTGGACCGTGAGGCCTCCGTGCCGGCACGCTGGTTTTCTAGGCGTGCGGCCTCCACGCCTGCGTTTGGGATTAGGACAGTGCGGCGCCTGCGTTTGGGATTAGATCCGTGCGGCGCCTGCGCGCTGGAGTCCGGGCCCAAACGGACTGTCTAGCAGAGAATCCGCCTTCCGGAACGGTTGCTGCTTTGGCTGTAAAGTGCAGTAGTGTTCCACCTATCAGAGATGTTCTCTTATCAAAAGGAGTTCTGAAGGAGCAAACTGGGCGTGGAAAAGGACCCGAGGCTCACGACCTCTGACCTCTAACCCTGTATACACAGTTTCTTAACAGAAAACAGACCGGCATGGGGACTCGCGGGAGTAGGGGATGACCAGATGGGGGGATTAGGGTTAGTGACTGGCGGGGATGGGGAGGAAGGTGCCTGGCTAGGGTGAATGCTCTGGTTAGAGAGGATACCCCGCTTGGGGTACTCAGGCTGCACAACCTCGCTGGTCCCCCACAGGCACCTTCTTGTGTCAGGAAGGGTCTTTTCTGTACCAAGCCCCTTTTAACGCCCCAGATACTAATTTGTGCTCCCAGCTGTGTAGAGCCAGCAGGTTCCCGTCCCTTGGGAGAAAGTAGAGCTAAAATTGGGGTTCTGTGGCCAGTCGCCGCAGGAATGTGAGGCTTGGATCCTGCACTGACAGGAACTGAGGGCGACCGTGAGCCCCTCCCCGTGACATGGGTACAGAGAACGGGGTGGTGGTGGTTATGTGCCGTGGAGTCGGTGCGGACTCACAGCGACCCGGTACAGGGTTTCCGAGGCTGTAAATCTTTACGGGAGCAGAAAGCCTCATCTTTCTCCCGTGGAACAGCTGGGAGTTTCAAACTACTGACCTTGAGGTTTCGCACCTGATTTGTAACCATTAAGCTACCAGAGCTGGACAACCCGAAATGCAGAACCCTCCCTGGGTTTCCTTAGGGCAGCCAGACGACCCTGTCAAAGCCTAATCCTGCTCATAACAGGCCGGGGTCCCCGAGGCCTTGTGACCCCAGCCCTATCAGGAGGACCAGTCCTCAGCGTCCTACCTGCCACAGCCTGCCTTGGGACTCACTGGCTCATTTCTCTGAAACACTGGAATACAGGAGTTGAAATACTGGTTAAATGAGTAAGTTATGACAAGGAGAAGAGTTCTTTTCCAGCAAAGATGGAAACAATTTGTTGCAAGTACACCCCATGTTGCTCTGCCAAGCCGTGAGCTGCCCTGTCCTTGCATGATCACCAATACATACGTGTGATGTAAATGTGTGACGTGTCATAACCCATGTACGCTTCCTATCACCCACAGCAGTCCATCCCGCCCCAAAGGCCCCACAGCTGGCGAGAGTTAGGGACAGGGCAGACCCAGGCCTGCCTCCCGCAGAACTCTTCCTTCCAACCTGGGGCCGAGGCTCCTCTAGCAGGTGTTGGCATACTTGGGGCTTTTCTACAATGTTCATCCTCCTTTTTTCTTCATAACTGGTTTTAGCAGAGACATGGCGACCCAGCAAAAGCCCACGCCACTAGCAGTGAGACTCATGGGATGTGTGTAGTGATGCGGCCCACTTCCCAGCCCCTCAGGAAGCAGGCAGGGCCTCTGTAAAGACGAGGGAAGTTCACCCAGACTCTGCCACTCACCCACGACTATCAAACGTGCAAGACGTAGACCTGCGTGTGTGATATTTGGGGGAGAGGAGGCCTAGTGTCCCCTTCTCCACTCAGCAGAGGTGGAGTTCTTCCCAAAGCAGGCAGCTGGTTCCACAGTGGGAGCGTTCCTATTTCCCTGGGAGGGAGGCAGTGCATCACAGGACCCTCGATTTTGTTACACTGAAATGTAGGGGACTGCGTTGAGTGGGCTTCTGTCCACACCTACGTGGAAACCCAGGGTGCCAGCAAGGACACGTCAGGTAAGAGACCAAGGACACAAAAGGTCCACACTGAGCTTCCCCGAATGATAGGTGTGAGACAGGCCAAAGTGATAAAAATCTCAACCAGCACCAGATTCCAGGCACAAGTCCCGAATCAGCATGCATGGCTCACCCCGGGGCTGGGCCCACTCTCCCACCTCCAGCAAGACCAAGAGGGGGTGGGGGCGGAGCCAAGGGATGAGCTCGGCCAGGTGGGGGTCTAGACAGGGATGGGCTCAGGACTGAGCCATAGCAGGGGCTGAGGATGGTCACTGAAGTTGGCAGTGGTCACAGGCGCGCGCATGCGAAGGAAGGAGGAGAGCATCGCCCGCTCCTCCCTCCCCCAGGCCGGCCTCTGTGCAGGTCTACAAATACAGCGCTTTATTTACAGGAGTTCCCAGGTCACGCACTCCCAGTGTCCCAATGCATGGGACTGTGCAGCCGAGCATCCTGCGTGGTGGCCTGGCAGTGCCAGGGAGAAGGCACAAGGTCTTGGGCTCGCCTGCGGCCCAGGAAGGCAGCGAGGGTGGTCAGCTCCCGGGGCTGGGGCCTGGCTCCGCGTGGCCACAGCTCTGCTCATAAGACGGTGGGGCCTCTGCAGGGGAAGAGGAATGTCTACACAGGGCTCTGGAGATGTCCCCAACCTGCGCGCACCAGGCCCCCCACTCACCATGGGGGTATCCCCATGCGCTGTACTCCGGAGGTAGGATTCCGGTGCTGGTGGCAGGCTCCGGACCCCTGGGGCCGTCCACGAAGTAGGGAACCGTGGCACCCGTAGAGATGCACAAGGGAGGGTGGGGCACAGGACTGTGGTCTTTAGCACCGGGTTCGGAGGGGCCAGGCGCGCAGCTAAAGGCGGCAGGTGGCGGTGTCTGCGTGTGGCTCTCCGTAGACGGGTCAAAGATGGGGTCCATGTGGTGGGGGGAGCTGGCCCCCTCCACTTCCTCCTGGGGCGGCGCCGAAGGCACTACCTGGGGCAGCATGGGACTCAACGGGGGACTCAACGGGGCATGGTTCACAGCAATGTTACCGATGAAGACCGGAAGGGTCACAGTGGCCTCAGGGGCCTTCAGGGACACCTAAGGGGAGAAGAGTGATGAGGGGTTGCGACTGGGGGCCTGGCCACCCACTGCCTTCGAGCCCTTGCCGTCACTGCAGAGCACCTGCAGGCAGTAGTCCACGTGGATAAGACTGCAGCCGGGCAGAGCAGACTGGGGCAAGGCGGGGACCAGGATTTGCTCTCTCCACTCAGAGCGCCTCCAGGCCTTAGCGCCTGCGCCCTGCACCTCCACGATTGTCCGAACGTCGTAGATCCAGCGCTTGGCCTTGTAGGACACTTTCTGGAGAGGGTCAGCCAATGAGCACAGAGAGCCACCACCGACCCAACCCACTAGGTCCACAGGACCTCTCCCGGCCAGCCAGTATGGGCTCTGACCTGCAGGAGACAGGCCACCACAGGCCCAGTGTCCTTGCCCGACTGGTTCTGGATGTCAACCTGCAGCCGTAGCACCTGGCCCACCACGTAGCCCCGGAGGTCAGTGCTGGCCATGAGGGTCACACTCCCTGTCTTCACTAGTTTGTAGGAGAACTTCTTGGTGGCTGCAGCCACATTAGGATGCTTGGGAGGAGGGGTTCTGTGAGTAGGCAGCCCTGGGACCCTCCTCCCAGCTTCCGGTACAGGACCCCACCCCCTCACCTCACCTCGATGTCAGGAATACTGTTCAGGTTCAGCGGACTCAAGATGTAGAACACACGGTTACACTTATAGTCCTTGGAGAAGCGTGGGGTGTCGATGGTGGCCCGCACTTGGTGCACGATTTTCCCAAAAGGCCCCTCAAAGGATGTGGGTGCTGTGGCTAAGGAGAGGAGCACACACTGGTACCGGGCTGCCTCCTGCCCTGCAGGCCCCCTCCCATGACCCACTGTGGCACCCCTGGGGCTGAGCTCTCACCAGGAAGCAGGAACTGGAAGGGGAAGGTGTGCTCACCAGCCTGCAGGCTTCCTGCAGAGATAGGACACATGGGGGGGTGGGGAGGAAACAGGGAAGGGACCACAGGCTGCAGACACTGCCTTGCTCCCACAGCTGGCTCCAGAGCACGAAGCAGTGGGCAGAGGCCATGGCCAACAGCTTGGCTTGAACAGGTGAATCAGAACCCTGTAGTGATAGACCCCAAATCTGGTCCCTTCAGCCACCCAGCTCCAAACAGGGATGCCCCGACTCACCCTTGTCTGCCAGCGACAGGGAGCTGCTGAAGTAGCCCTCCTCTACCACCCACGAGGCATCGTTGACCTTGTTGGAGACCCCGCAGGATCCTGAGCACGTCACCCGGATGGCTGCAACAGGGGGTGGCCATAAGCCCCAGCCGGCACAGTTTGGAAATGCAGGCAGGCGGCAGCCCTCCTCCTGGGGTACTCCCAGGAAGTGGGAACACAGTAGACAGGTATATTGTCCTGCAGTCCAGGGTACCCTCAGCCTGTGAGGACCCTGCTGACCTCTGACCCCATCCTCCTGCCACCTCTCAGGTCAATCAGTTAAGCAGGGTGGAAGCCGGTCCTCCCTGCTGCTGCAGGAATGTGGTCAGACCTGCCTGGCCAGATTCTGGCCCTCTGTACTCTGGCCACCCCAACTTCCTGGCCAGGGGGCTTTTCCATCTCACAGTCCTCAGCTTGAGTCTCTGACCCGTAAAGGTAAAACACCCAGGCCCAGCTGCTCTGTGGTCAGGACCTGAAATTGGACCCAACAGAATCACAGGGTGGGGGCCCCGTGACAGAAAAGCTACACTGCACACCCTCTCCCCAGGCAGGGCTGAGTCAAGGCCAAAGACTTCAGGGTTCCCTGCCCAGGGTTAGGTGACCAAACTCGAACACTCTCCTGGCGAACCTACAGGCAGGAAGAACACTAGTGTCCCAAGTGGCCCGGATTAGGGGTTAACCACACTACCCTTCTATCTCCTTCCATGGGCCTCCTAGCCAGGCCCCACCTGGTCACCCACAGCTTCCTCCTACCTCACCATATCCAAAACGCTCAGTTTATCCTCAGTCTTCAGGTGGTGCTCTACCATCTGCAACTGCCAAATCCAAGCCTCCAACCCCAAGAGACCTCCTTGTTTACCATGGCATTGGCCTCTGCCCCTCTATGGCATTGCCAGGGGTGGACCCATCTGGGCCTCCTGCCCAGCCCAGGCCCTAACCCTAATCACCAACATGCACATTTCAAGTACATGCTCCTTCAGCTATCTCCTCCTAGGAAGGGCCTGGAACTGTTCCCAGGAGCACCAGGGATGGTCTGACCAACCACAGCCCCAGAGACAGATGACAAGCACCACCAGGAGACAAGAGTACTGGAAAGTCACCCGTCCCTTGACAGTCAGCTGCTGGAACCCACAAAGATGTCATCAAGCAAGTCTGTCAATGACACAAGAGCCACCAGGTGCAAGGCAGCGGTTGTTCCAGACCTCCCAAGTCTCCGGGTAACTTCTATGTAGCTGGACCAGGTGTCCAATCTCATTGGGAACCAGGGAAACTACCACTCAGGCAAAAGTTGAACTATTTTGCCCCACATTGGAGCAGATGAAGCAAACACACCATTACTCTGGGAGGAACGAGGGAGAGCTCTCTGCTGCACACGGACCCCCCAGGAAATGGGACCCACTTACCCCCAGAGCCACGCACCACACTACTGCAACAGCAATACGCCTCAGTGCTCCCAGCCTTCAGGCAGATGACTCCAGACAAACCAACTAGATAAAGCCACCAACATGCCAGCTCTCCCAGCCACCATGCCCAGAGCTCCATTTCACACAAACACCAGGTGCCATGAACAGCCCCAGCCACTGTGTCCTCTCTCCTGGTGGGAACTTCTTCCCCACAGGCCTGGGAGAAGCCCCAGGGAGCCAGTCTTCAGTGGTCTGGGCCAACACCGAGGCCACATTAACCCTAGACAAACCATTGGTTTAGGGCACATGCAAGTGATGTGACCCTGCTCAAGACGTGAGAAGAGCCTATAGAAAGCGTAGGAAAGGGTCTTTGTAATTTAGTGGAAGACACAGATTTTGGAAACTGTGATGGCAGGGACTGCTGCAGCCTCTTTGGGATGGTATACACAGTCTAAGAGAACCAGCTAATCTGTAAAGGCCAGGGTCACAGGGTGGAGGAAGTCCAGCCCGAGAGCATAGAAAACTGTCTTTCACAATCACAGCCAGGCAGGGCTGGGAGGAAGTGACCACGTCAGAGACCCAGACTTCCTCTGCCTTCCTGGTATCAATCTTAAGTCCGTTTTCATGTTTGACTCTGCAGCTCTGTGGCCCTTACCCAGTAAATGGCGCTAGGCATCGATCACACAGGCACACCAAGCCCTCCTACCCAGCACGCCTGCCCTCAGCACAGCCACAGGACAGGACGGGACCTGGTAGGGTGTGTTCTGGAAGCTTCTCCTAACTAATACTGGAGGCTCATCACAAGAGATCAGATGTGGGAGGGGGGGGAGGCTGATGGAGAGTGCTGCTGCTGTTCCAAACTCTGGTTAAGGAAAACCTTGGTTGTATTGCCAAAGTAACTGCTGAACCACCTACCTGTCCAGAAGTCCCTCTCTTGGACTCAACTGAGCACTGACCATGGAGACCTCCACTTGCTTCTCGTCCCATTCCCAAAGGTTTCTCACCCTGAGCACCAACTCCCCCCAAACCTGAGGCACACCCTTCTACTAACGAACACTATGGTCAAGCCACTTTCCCTACCCCCATGTGCCCGAATCCACACAATGAGGGTAATTAGCATCCACTTCCTGAATCGGTGCAACTCAAACAGGAACACTGGGCAGTAGGCATCTGGCAGCGCTGGGCCCCCCCTCGCCAACCCTGAGAGCCATGATTAGGGCACACTGCCTGGACACCAGCCCCAGTGGGTTTGACTCAGCTCCAGGGTCACTCACTGAACTAGTGGGGCCCCGACCCTGCGGGCAAGGGTCACCCTGGGCATTTCTCACTACCATCTCTCAGATACCGAGTGGTAGCTCAGCAGGTATGGTGTGATGATGAAAGAGTGGGGGGGTAGGGAGCGCTAGCCCCTTCCCACAAGCAGGAGGTAGAGCCTGCACACGGTGGCACACTGGGCCGACCACAGCCAGAATAACTGGGTTTCTGTTCCAATCAGAAGTCCTCCTCCTCCTCCCAGAGACCACTGCCTGCTATCCTTGCAGCTTCCTAAGGCCCCAGGTAACTAACTCACCCACACTTCATTCCAGGCCCCCAAAGTCCTGCATGGCCCCTTGATTACGGTCAGCTGGGAACACCCCACGCCTATCTCTGCAATATCACCTGGAGGGCTGTGTGTGCAGCCAAGGCCTTGGCCTCACTGTCTTTGTCCCAGCTGTAACTCCCTCCCCAAACCACCAACTCCAGCTGGAAAAGTGTTAAGGAGGCCCAGCAGGGCTGGGGGTTCTCATGGGTGGGGCCCAGGGAGCTCTGAGAGTAAACCAGGGAGGAGAGAGCCTGGTAGGGATACTCAACTCAGGTCAGGATGGACAGGGGGAGCCACAGGTGCACCCTGTGAGTGGCAGCTCTGCCTACCTCACCCTTAGGCCCCGGTTCCGGGCCACAATGCAGATGATCAAGGAAAGCCAGCACCTCCCACAGCAACCTGATCCCCGGTCCCAAAGTCCCAGATGTCTGCAGAAGAGGAGACAGGGACTGGCCACGAGGGCTCAGGTTCAGTTGCCCAGTGCCAGGATGGACCAGGGAAGAAGAGTCAGGCCCTCCCACGTGACAGGAAAAACTGAACAGAAGTCACAGAGGGTCAGAGACCTCAGTGGACACATGGGAGCCAGGCCAGTCCTCCCAGCAGAAAAGAAAGCAGGAGAGTGAGCCAGGTTAAAGGTGAGGAGGCCAGCAGGTGAGATTCGCAGCAGGGGCTCAGGCAGGAAGAAATTCCGGCAGATAGGAGTCACCTTTAGGCAGGTGGACAGTGTCTAAGTCCCAGTCCGTGGTTCTGGTCGCCCAAAGGCAGTGAGGAGAGGAAGAAGCAGATGAGGCCAGACATGCTGGGCCACCAAGACTTCCTCACTCGCCCCTGGCCGCGTGTGCCTCCGGACTGGTGGTTCCGCAGTCAGAGTCGGCTGGGGAGCCACACACGAGAGCCGGACAGAGGATCCAGGCCAGCGAACGGGTGACGGGAACCACAGTCGCTTCCGGGGTCTCCACGCCCAGAGCGCCCGCCCACCAGCCAGCCCCAGGTGCGGGCGCGGTCACCTGAGGCCTCCCTGACCCTCCTGCCAGGGGACCCCTGAACCCCATGGCCCGTGCCCACCTCGGAAGGGCAGCGGTGCGCCCAGGCGCACACACACCGCTCCCACCAGCGGCTCCCCAGGGCTGTAGACTACGCGGCCGTGGCTCAGGCGAATCTCGAAGAGCTGCAGGCGCCCCATGCCGTGCCCCGAGCCGGGCGGTCGAGTAGTGACGCCCGGCCGCTCAGGGCTCAGGGTCCCGTCCCCGCCCTGACCGCCGGCCCGCCCCTAACCCA